GGGAAAACCGAACATGCTCTCCATAGTGGGGACAGTGATCATTTGATTTCCTGCAAGCATCATCTAGTCAGCTGAACACAGGGTTGGCAAATCTGGCTCACTGCCTATTTTTATAAATAAAGTTTTATTGGAACATAGCCATGCTTATTCATTTACCCATCATCCTCCATGGCAGAGCTGAGCAGAGGCAACAGAGACCCTACGGTGACAAAGCAAAATGGCCTCTTATTAGAAAACGGGCTTTTGTTATTTGTCCCTTTATAGAAAAAGTGCCATCCCCATCTTCACAGATGACTAGAAAACCAGCAGTTTCATAGAATTTGCTGAAAAAGACGATACATTGGAGCAGTTAAGGGGAAGAAGTCTGGATGCTGATCCCTGCTCTGTGACCTTAGGCAAGTTACCTACCTATTCTGGACTTGTCATTCCATAGGCAAAACTGCAGTGATACATGTAGTATTAAGTGGGATCCTGTCAGCACAGGGTCTGATGCTGGCAAAAGCAATATAAAAAGTAGCTACTATTGTTAGTTATTAAGTGTCAACTGCCAGAAGGCACAGAGAAACTCCCAGAAGAGGGTCATCGCTGCCTACAGCTCTCTTTAGAGAACACCCAGCAGTGAGCCTGTTCAAAGCCAAAATATATGTGAATGTCAAAACTGAGCTCTAGCTTGCGACACACCCAGTAACGATTCCAACTCCCTTTCAGTTAAAGCAGTAGATCAGAACAGGAAAGGGGGGAGCCAAGGTCAAGGCTACAGCATCTAGCATAGTAGCTTCAGTGCCCGGCACATAGTAGGCACCCAGTATTCACTGCCTGAAAGAACGGAGGCTGGATATGTAACTGTAAAGGTGATTTGCCTGTCAAAGAGCCCCTTTGATCTCTGCTGAGACCACAGTTAGTCGGAAGAAAAAATGTCTGCTGCCAGTATTTTAGGGTCTGAGGGAGGAAAGCGGTATGCTAGAGACGAGAGGAAACGAAAACGAGCAAGCCGCCAAGGCTTCCGTTGCAGGACGGAGGCAGTGCAATAGATTCTTGGGGAACAGATGGGCAGAGAAAAATATTTTAAAGGCAGAAACAGGCTCACAAGGTCATGAGTCGGCCCAAAATAACTGGGGACACTGAGCAGACAGATGCAGGCGGTGCATCTTGATGGAAACGAGGCCAAGCTGATAAGCGAGATAGTCTCCCCTCACCGGGCACCCGACCTCCTGCCCGGGAGGCCTCTGCATGAGAAAGAGGGGCTTCAGCAGGTATGGGGCTTCCTCTGATCCTTCCCGTAGTGCTCTGATTCCCCAAGTCCCTAAAAAATTGGAAACCACTGCATTTCCCGGGAGCAGGTTTGGGAACGCAGATCCAGGAGCTATTTTTTTCCCCCAGACATTTCATGACTCTAGTTTCTGCAACAACAGGCACTGGTGATGCTGCCAAGCTGCCAGAGAAGGGCACCTTATCGTCACAGTCACGACTCCAAGAACCCGAACCGGTTACTGTTGGCAAGGGCGGAAGGAAGTCCTTTGTCGTAGCTTCTTGGAGGAGCAGAGGAAGATCAGGGATTTCGAGGGATCCTTGTTGTACCTTGGTCTGCGCCCTCTCCCCATAGAGAGGTTGCCAGTGGCTATTCAGAACCACCAGTGGGGACTGTGTAGCAGTGTCACAGTGAAGGCTGCAAATAGCAGACACTCCACCAGTGGACACCCAGAGGAGCATGTGTGGGGAGGAAAAGCAGGTCCCTGAGTGCCCAAGCCAGATTCTTTTTTGCTTAGACTTCCTCATTTCCTTGAAATAACAAAACTAATTCCCTTTCTGCCTATGGGCCACAGGAAGTTTCTGTTGTTTGCAATCCAGAAATCTTGTGTGATACAAAGGGTCTTAGTGGAACCCAAGGGCAGGCATTGGAACTGCCTTCACAAGGAAGGGAGCTAGGAACCAGCAAGTCATTGGGAATCAAGATAGCTTTCTCCTCCTGTGTCGGCTGGGAACATATTCAGCTTCCAATAACAGAAACTGGATGTGGGCAGATTGTAAAGCTCCAGATCCCCACTCACATCAACCCTGGCTTTGACTGATGAGGTATAAACAAACACAAGGCAGGTAGAGACTTGAGGGCTGCTTGTGCATCAGGGCTGGCTCTCACTGCCATGTCTGGGGACCTGTGACCACTGCCGCACGAGTGAGCCCCGTCTGGCCTGCTGGTGGTGACCAGCTTGCTGAGCTAAGACAAGCTGTTGCAGCTGGAGGCCCCTCTCACGGGTTTCTCAACCTCACTACTACTGACATTCGAGAGGAAGGGATTCTTTGTGGCGGGGTGTTGTTTTGTGCCTTTAAAAAAAAATCCCATAGATAATAGTAGCACCCTCCTGCCCCAGAGGTGATAATCAAAAATTATACCCAGACATTGTCAAATGTCTCCTGGGGCAGGGGTTGTCTACCTCGCCCCTCCTTGAGGTTACTGACCTAACCCATTTGTCCGCCAGTGACCAGGCATGAGAATAAGGCCACCCTAAACCATCCAGCTCCGGCCAAGCCATCCTAGATGGCAGAAGTGCCCAGCTTGATCCATGGACTCATGAGAAATAATATTTGTCATTCTGGGTCAATAAGTTTGGGGTGTTTTGTTGCCCAGCACAAACGTTCCCAGGTGACTCGGTGGCTTCAACTGGTAGGGGGCTATCTGTCCTACAGTACAAGTACAGAGGTGAGCAGTTCTGCACTCTTGCGGCACCCCTTGCTCTTGTCTTTCCGGTCTACTCTCCTTGGTGGGGGAGCTCTGGCTGCTTCTTCTTCTTTTTTTTTGGTTCCCGGTGATTGAACTCAGGGACACTTGACCACTGAGCCATGTCCCCAGTCCTATTGTGTATTTTATTTAGAGACAGGGTCTCACTGAGTTGCTTAGCATCTCACCATTGCTGAGGCTGGCTTTGAACTCACGATCCTCCTTTCTCAGCCTCCCGAGCCGCAGGCGTGTGCCACCAAGCCTTGCTGGCTTCTTGCTTTTTATCTGATGATCCCCAAGACAGTTTGCTCTTGCACCAAACCTGAGCCCCAGGACCAAAAGGGGGCAGGGGGCAAAGGGGCAAAGCTTTCTCCAAGGGAAGCCCTCCTGGGCAGAGCTCACACTGCGGCCTTGCTAGCTGCAAGGGAGGCGGGGAAATCGAGGGCTCAGCATTCAGCCTCTGAGGCAGGATACGCTAGTTGGCGCCCCCTGGTGCCTGCAGCACCCGCTCGCTCGGGGGCTCCGGGTTCCTGGTCTCTCTACTCTTTGCAGCTCCGACCTTCTGTTTCTGAACACCGTGCTACAGGAAAGGTCCTCGCCAGCCCTGGAGTGGCACCTTCTCTCTCTGCCCGAGCTCCACCACTGTCCTGAATGGCACCCTAAGGGCAGAGATGCTGATTGGCCCGGCTGGAATTAGGAGGGAAATCGGATTGGCCTGGCTGGGGTTGGGTAACTACCACCCAGCCAATCAGCGACGGCCAAGGGAGCCGCTCCGGGGAGGGAGGGGCGGGGCCGAGGAGAAGCCGCCTCCTTGGAGGAGTCAGGAGAATAAATTGCCCTTCGGAGGTGGCGTTGATAGGCTAAACCTTAACACGTTCCTTTGAAAGAACTAAAGTATGGGGATTCATGAAGCCATTGTATATATACCTGTTCAACAAACAATGGATTTTTCACACAATTTGGATCTCAAACTTGCACCAGCTCCTTAACCAAGCGATCTGTTCTGGTGCTAGAGAAAAACTTTCTTTGGACTTTGGAGATGAGGTGCGGTTTTCATACTACCAGATTCCTCTTCCAGTTTCTGGAATTTTCACCTTTTCAAGGTCACTGACTTTAGATCCCGCCCTCTGTAAGATTCGCCTTCTGGGGGAGATCACATAAAGAGTTCATGGATTTCCCCTGAGGGGTGTGTGTGTGTGTGTGTGTGTGTGTGTGTGTGTGGTGCTGGGGATTGAACCCAGGCCCCTGGGCATGAGAGGCAAGCACCCTGCCAATTGAGCTGTATCCCCCGCACTCCCCTGAGTTTTAATTGGTATTAATAAGACACTTGGTTTTAAAACATAAAAAATATTTTTATTGTAGATCTATAGAATCAATCCTGTTCATGACTTCTGGTTCTTCCCCTTCCCCCAACACAAGGAAGGCAGTGAGAGGACAGGTGGACAGAGAGAAAGCAGGCCATGGGAGAAGCAGAGACGGAGCCTGGGCAAGGAGGGTCCCTCCCAACACCAGGCGAGGGCCGTGCGGCCTCCTGGGCAGTGTGTGTTCTCTGGGAACTTGGTCTGTCCTTGTGGTCTGGGACTGGAACCACTGGGCCATCTTGGTGTGGCAGAATGGACAGGATGAGATGGAATTAGAAACTCGGGTTCAAGACCAGTTCCTGAATTTAAAGCTGTGGGATTCTAGGCAGGTCCGTGAACCCCCCTGGGCTCAGCTTCTCAGCTACAAAACGCGGAGCACAATATTCTTGACCTCCTTGGGCCCAGGAAGGATTTAAAAAGTGTTTTGAAAATTGCACGAGAGTGCCATAGGAATGTTAGTTGTTATTATGGAAGCAATTAAACTGATTGGCATTCTAAATTTATTACAATAAAGTCAGCTCTAAATTCCCTATGGCCTGGCCCAAGAGCCCTGAGCTTCCCCTTCTGCCTGATTCCAATGACAGTCTTGGATTTTCTCCACTATGGGTCTCCCAGAGCTCCTTTAGGGTGTGATGTCATGACCCAAATGTGAAACTGTGTCATTGTACATACCAGACTGAGGAGTCTAGGTTACAAACATACTTTCACATACCTGAGTTTGTACATATTCATAGTTATTAAAAAAAAAAGAACCCCTGTTCCCCCACACTCTCAAATACATACTGTGCAAAATACCAGTCTAGAAAGTCAAACGCTAGGGTAAAAATCTTTAAAGTCCTACATAAAATGTCTTAATATTTTGACATGGAGGAGTCAAACCGACTCACGGAGAATCACATGAGTCTGGGTGAGACGACATTGCTCTAGTTCCTTCCACCAGGCTTAGAAAACAACAGGCTCTGGCTGGGTTTGCTGGATGTCTCTTTTTTCATCTCTCTTTCTTGGTCCATCTTGGAGGTGGCTTTTTTGGCTCCAACCTTCAACAAGCAAGAGGCACAAACTCTATAATTGCTGTGAGATCCCAACATGTTCCACCCAAATGGTTTCATTTGATTTGGTAACCAAAAGAAAATGTCGCACACACGCGCGCATGCACACACACACACACACAGATCAGAGCAAGGAGGAGATAAAATGGCTCATCATTATCACACTATCTATTGACAAGCTGCATTACTGTTTGGGGTGCGCCCTTCCAGCAACAGCTGTGGCTGGCCCCTTTTACATCCTTGTTTCGTGGTCTGGAAACCAGGAACTGTGTATGGTGAACACATTCGCAGTGATGCAGTCTCTCTCCATGGGCTCTCACTGCATGAAAGGTGTCTTCCATCTGAAGGTTTGGAAGGAGAGCGTGCAGACTGCTCAGGGGAGCACCCTGTCCTGGAAGGAGCATCCGGACAGTCACGATCTGACTCTGCTCCCAGGTCTTAGTTGCTTGGTCCCTTGTCACAGCTGGGCTTTTTAGAAGATCCCTCCCAGGACTTGGGGTTGTGGGCTCTGACATGCTATTCACCCCCTTCCTGTCACATGGCTGGGGACAAAGCCATCAGAGGCCTGGAGGGGCACAGAGGACCAGAAGTGTGTGTGTGTGTGTGTGTGTGTGTGTGTGTGTGCGCACGTGCATGCGCTAAGTTCTTTTCACTTTAGGACAGGTTTAAAAGTCCCCTTCTGAGACCTGGGCCAGTGGCTGAGGGTCTGGAATGCCATTTGAGAACCTGCCTTCATCATGTTGGGCGCGGTGGCACATGCCTGTAATCCCAGCGGCTCAGGAGGCTGAGGCAGGAGGATCACAGGTTCAAAGCCAGCCTCAGCAACAGTGAGGAGCTAAGCAACTCAGTGAGACCCTGTTTCTAAATAGAAAATAGGGCTGGGGATGTGGCTCACTGGTCGAGTGCCCCTGAGTTCAATCCCTGGTACAGCACCCCCCATGCCAAAAAAAGGCTGAGAACTCTCCAGTAGCCCTCCAAATAAATATTGGTTTGAGTGACCTGGGGGGGAATGTCATAAACCTCTCCCCTCTGCACAGCCTTCCCTTTATTTGATTTTCAATAAAATTGCTTGTCTGCGAATGGTTTTCGAGTGCCCGAGCCCTGATGGGGGGTGCAATGTTGGCTGTGGGACCCAGAAAGTTTGTTAAAAATAGTCCCATGGGCTGGGATTGTGGCTCAGCGGTACAGCGCTCGCCTGTGCGGGACCGCGTTTGATCCTCAGCACCACATTAAAAAAATAAAGGCTTTGTGTTAAAAAATAGTCTCAGGTCCTGTCAGTCTCCACCCCCAGATCTGCCAATAGCCTGAGGCAGAAGGACCACGGATTCTCTCTTCAGTGTGACAGGGAGGGGCAGCAGAAGGCAGACTGGGCGACCTGACCCACCCTGGAAGAGGTGGTGGCTGGGGCCTGTGAACCTGTGTGGGGGGTGGAGGGCAGGGGTGGTGGGGGCCCCTGGCAGAGCCCAGCCTGGAGAGAGGCCAGAGCACCACCATCCCCCGCTGAGGTTTTGGAACCACAAGCCTTCCCCTGAGGACCAGAAGCCAGGCTTTAAACAGTGACACCCAGGTGGAAACCCACTCAGGATGCACGGGGTGGCTGTTCTGGAAAACCACAGGCCTGGGCTCTAGCGAGCTCCCTGCCCATCCTGCAGCCTCCTGGTCGAGGCCCTTGGACTTTGAAATAGGATCCTGGGCTCAGCCCTCGGCCTTGCCCTCAGGGCACCGTGCCCACAGTCACTATCTAAGTGGTGCTTGTTTTGACCTTTAAAAAAACGGTTCCAGGCTGGAAGCCAGAGGGGCGTGGATTTTTATGTTTTCATTCTTCTAGAGCCTGTTTCTCAGCCTTTGCCTTTATCTGTCCCTCCCCTGTGGATGTTTTTTGCTAATCCCTCCCACTCTATGAGATTTTAATATCACAGATAGCACTATGCGTGTGCGCATGTGCCCCCCCCCTCCACGCACTCGCACATGTTGAGTAATCCTCACCCCAGAGTTTGGGACCGATGTGTTTCAGGTTTTAGATTTTCCCTAGTTTTAGAATAGTTGCATACCCAATGAGATATCTTGGGGATGAGACCCAAGTTTGAATACCAGATTCATTTATGGTTCATATACACCTGACACACACGCATAGAAGATAATCGATACAACATTTTAAATATTTTGTGCAGGAAACAGCACTTGCAGCATTACATCAGCACTCAAAATGTTTTGGATTTTGGAACATTTTGAGTTTGGGACTTTCAGATCAAGGACATATTTGTGCTTTGTATGTAAAGAATAAATGTTGGCGGAGTGTTGTGGCACATGCCTGTAATCCCAGAAACTCAGGAGGTTGAAGCAGGAGGATCGCAAGTTCAAGACCAGCCTTAGCAACTTAGTGAGGGTCTGTATCAAATAATAAAAAGGGCTGGGTGCTGGGACTGTCGCTCAGCAGTAGAGCACTTGCCTAGCATGCGTGAGGCGCTAGGTCCGATCCTCGGCACCACATAAAGATAAACAAAGGCATTCTGTCCATCTACAATTACAAGAATTTTTTAAAAAATTAAATAAACAGGGCTGGGATGTGGATCAGTGGTAAAGCACCCCTGGATTTAATTCCTGGTAGGAAAAAAAATGTTGACTCCCTTGGGGGGACACTGCCCCCGTTGAATGCATGATTGTCCTGGACACATGGTCGGCAGCTGCCACATCACGGGCTCTCAGTAGGTGTCTGTCGAATGGATGAGGGACAGGACAGCACCTCTTTTTGTTCACTCTCCACTCCCCTGTGCCCAGCACCCTGCCTAGCCTTAACTGGGTACTCAATAAATTTCTGGGTTTTTCTAGAAGACTAGAAACTAGATTTTCCTCTTTGGTATACAACCCGCACACAATTATAAAAGATTGTTAGCTGTAGGGAAAACAATTTAATGAATGGCATTGTGAAAGACAAACAAGAAGCCACGGGGCCTAGACAGAAAGTTCCAGAAGCTCGCTAGAGAGGGAGACTGTGATGAGTGGGCCAGTTGAAGGGGTGGGTCTCACATGGCCTGTCTTTTCTGAGGTGGTCATGTGGACTCCATCACCTCAGGACTCCAGGCCACCCACGCTTTGTAAGGAACCTGAAGACACCTTTCTGCACCATGGAGATCTAGACACGAGGCCTGGCGTCCCTGGCAGGAGGGCTGGAGGATGGGACGCTCATCCGCACCTAGTGCAAGCGCCAGCTGCTCCCGGCTCCTAACCCTGAGGTGGCCTTCACAGCTCAGAGGCAGGACGGTCCTGCGACTTCAGGGCCGACCCCACAGCTCAAGGAAGCCTTCTGCCTTATCTCAAGGTGTCCGCCTGCGCGGGGTTTGTCCTGTGTGTGGATGAGCAAGTTTCCAGCCTCCCTCTGTCCCACTTTGCAGGGTAGCACAGTTCTCAGAACTAGGGGACCCTTGGGACGCTCTCTGTCCTGACATCTGCTCTGAGCAGTAGCTACCTTTCTGTCTTAGGACAGGGGGATCGAGAACCGGCTTCTGCTCTCACATGGAGTATCTGATTTTTTCCAATGAGGATTTTACCGTCTCAGCATAACTGTGGTCTTTTGTCAAACTTGAACATATTTCCTCTCACGTTCAACGGAAAGGTGCTGATCTCTCCGCGAGCTCACCTCTGCCGCGCAAGGCGGGCATCTGCCTGGGGCAGTTCCAGCATCAAGGCCGAATCGTGAAAGGTAATGGTTCAGATTTCACAGCCTTGATCCTCAGCTCTCAAGAAAAGGGCATTCTGGAGGGCACCTCCTTGAAAAATCAAGCCACACGCCACCCAGATGGGATCAGCGATGGCCTGGATGGGATACCTGAAGCAGGGCCAGAATCACTGACCTGTGTCAGACCTGCGGCGGGCGCCATCGGGGGCTCTGGAGGGGTCAGTCTCTGCAGCAGGCACCTCATCTTAAGTTGGGACAGTAACAATGCCCGTCCATAGGGTGTCGTGGAGTTTAAGTGAGACGAGCCATGGCCTGTGTCTGGCTCCATGCCTGGCACATAGTAGGTGCCTGGTTCAGCACATGGGCTGCTGCTGTCACCTGGGTACCCTGCTGCTGACCCACTGTTTCCTCTCTTCTCTTTCTGGCTCACCTGGAAATCTGAACTCTGCCTCGTGGCCTTCACCATCTCTGTAAACGCTCGTCTCTTCAACGTGGAGAGAACAGGGCCACCTTACACTTAGGTTCACCTCTCTGCTTTTTGTTGCCTCAAAGAAAATGGATTCTTCTCAACTTTTAGAGTCCGTTTGGGATGCTGGGGCTTCCCTGGCCAGGGGGTGATGATGACGCCTCCCGGGAGGGGTGTGGCTGGGGGCAATGGCCCACCTCCCCGACGAGCCTCCTGGGGATCTCTGTTCAGATTCCAGCTAGGAGCAGGCTGGTCGGCCAGGGTCCCCACAGAACCCTGCACTCTCCTCAGGGACCAATCTGCTGCAGCTGGTGGCAGAGCCTCCCAGAGCTGGACGTCCCCAGAGGGGGTCTCTCCTAAACATCCCCATGGTGTCGGTGCGAGGAACTGTCAGGGATCACAGCCTGTTTGGAAGCCAGCACCCCAACTCTGGGGCTTGCTATTTCCTTGGGGTTTGATTTGCAGTTGCTGACCCCGGTGTCCTCAAGACCCTGCACCTCAGGGGGAATGCCCAGGGGAAAGAGACTCCCGAGGCGCTGAGGACACGACAGTGAGCCAGCTGGGCCTCCCTTTCAGGTGGTGGTGGGTGAACGTATGGGGGCACCTGGGGAGGAAGTTCCAAGAGCCCCGAGCTCACCCGAGGGTCACCAACCAGATGCTTCCAGGGGCCAGCGGTGCAAAAGAAGGGGGTCAAGTGGGGGAGGCAGCAAACCCAGGAGCAGCCTGTGTCCTTTCTAAGAGGCCTGGGAGATGGTGACTTGTGAGGTTGGTCACCACCATCTTCCAAGTTCCTCAGAGAGGCCAGAAATCCAGAGTATTCTGTGGAAGGGCCCTCTTTTGAGATGTTACTAAAAACAAAACTACAGACCAAAAAAACCAAACAAACAAAAAACCCACCCAAACTAGAAAACACCCCGTGAGCCAAGAGAAGTGCATCTGTGGCTGCCGTGTGCCACAGCTACCGAGAGTCCCTCTCTTTGGCAACCAGTCGGGGCCCAGGAAGCACTTGTTGACAGGTCCCAGGTGAGACCCAGGGTGCCCCACTCACTCGCATTTCAGAATAATAGTTTTCTAAAGTAGAATAAGTGCGTTCAGCACAATGTTTAGGACCTACTTGGACGACCCAGTCCAAGTAAACTCTTGGCTGCTTCTCTGAAATTCAAATGTGGCTGGGCATCCTGGTTTACTTTTCCTCCCAGTCGGGCAACCCTACTGGGCTCTCCCCAGGCCTTGGAGGAAGGCCCTTTATTGGCAGGTAAAACTGGTGAAGGGAAGCTGCTCTGGGGCGCAAGGGTTGGGGTGCCCAGGACCAAGGCTTCAGGGAACTGGAGTCTGAGCACTGCTCAGTCCTGGACTGAGTCCAAACAGTGGGCTGCTGAGCTCTGAAGAGCAGAGCCTGGCCACCCGCAGTCCTGCTTTTACAGAACTTGACTGGACTCGTGGGATGTGGGGACATTGGTCTGTCTCAGGGAACTTCCTCAGACATGGCTCGGCTGACACTGTGTTGCTTCTGCACTGTGGCCATTTTTAGGAACATGGTACATTATGCCACAGTGTCCCCTCTGGGGGAGTGCCCAGTGTGGCCTCTGTTCTAATGCTTGTGTGCATCCCACAGACACTGTGAACTGGAGGCCTAAGTGGTTTTCCCTCTCCCATTGGCTGCCAGGAAGCTCAGAGGCACATGAGGCTCCCCTTGGCAGGTGTGGAAGTCATTAACAATCGGGACTCCATTCCCATCCTGGATCCTTTTATGCCCACTTTTCCTGATTTATTTCATTCCTAGCACAGGATTCTTGGGGCTCTCATGCCTCCCTTCCTTTGTCATGAGCTTGTCAGCAAGTCCCCAATTCATTTAGTGCCTGGGATGGTGCCTCTGCAGCCAAGGCACTCTCGAGTTCCCTCTCCCCTCGCCTCAACGCACTGGGGCAGACACTTTTGCTGGTCTTTTCGGTCATTTGTTCAAATATTGGGCAGGGGCTGGGGCTGGACAGGGATTGGAGTGGAGGTGTGCGATGTCCCTGGGACGTCCTTGGGGTAGCACGGCTGGCATTTATGCTTCATGGGCTCTTACCCTCTGCAAAGACTGAATCTAGTTTGTGTCTGGCTGCCTGAGCAGAACACCTTTCCATACCTGCCGCTGATTCTCTTTGAAGGAACAGTTGCAAGGTGCTGAGTCTTTTGCATTTCTGTTTTCAGGATCCTCTAAATGTTCCTGAGTGAAAACATCATGTGAACAAGAGTGTTTAGTATGTCCTCACCTGTACCAGTCGGGGACACACCTCTGGCATTTCGGGGAGACGCTGGGATTCACTGGAAGGGGTGGGCAGAAGTGGGGCCACCCTTAGCCACACACTGCACCACCCCACCCACGTTTTACCTTCTCATCTTTGCAGGGGGATCGGGGGGAGCCTGGCCGAGTCCCCCAGTCCATTCCAGCCTCTACAACATCTGGAATGACCCCGGGATACCTAGGGTCACTCCTTGGTCAAAAACACACGGGAATACCTGGCCCAGGAGAACCTTGGAAAATAGTGAGTTCAACAGAATGTGAAGCTGTCGATGGTGGCCAGGGAACGTGTATCTAGTGGCCCTTATTTGCTTTGGGTTTTATAAATATGCTCTCATCGAATCTAACCTTATGAGCTAGATACTGATCTTTATTGTAAAGACTAGGGATCTGAGCTAATTACATTGGGAGGAGGCTGGGGGCTCCAGCCCAGCTGAGACCACCTGGCCAGCTTTGATTGGCTGGAGGCTGGGAGGGGAGCTGGGCGGCTTCTCTGGCTGCAGTGGCCTTTCTCACACTAAAACCCTAAGGAAGGTCTGAGAAAGGGCTGCCGCTTCCCAAAGGGCAACTTCTGTGCATGTCAATGTTTTCTATTGAAAATTCCGGGCTTAACCCATTCACAAGAAAGTCTCGGCTCTTTCTTGGCCATGGCCCTGGTTGTATTCACCGAACAGAAAAGAGAGCCTTACAAAGGAGCTGCCAGCTTCAGGGGACCAGGGGAAAGTCTCAGGGCCATGTGGACTCATCAGCTGGCGGGCAGTTCTCTAAGAAACACAGGAATCGCCCCCGCCACCCGAATTGACATTCTCACCCCCAAGGAGTTGGGTAAGGAGTCTGCTGCCTGCCAGAGGCCACTTCCCCCACGGTCCTGGGAAGTAGGTTCTGTTGTCACAGTACTGTTGAGAAAACTGAGACATAGGGGTGAAGTCATTTGTCACCTGGGACACTGCTGCCTTATCTAGAGATGTGGAAAGTGGACGAGACTTGTGCTCCTGCCCAGCCAGGCATGATCTCCCCTGGCCTCAGTTTCTCCTCTGAGGGGCGGCTCGAGGCCTCTCTAGGTTGGGCTGTCACTGTTACCCTGTCACCTGGAGAGAGCTCGAGGGACATCCCAGAGTTGGGAGGCCCAAGACCAGGATGTTCTCTGGAAATGTCTGGTGCGGAAGTTTCCCCACATATTATAGCAAGTCTCATTTGCACCGTCAAAGGGAAGTAGACGTGTGATTCTGGAAAGTTCTGCTTGGTGAAAAGACGCTTAACATTCAAACTGCATTGGTGTGTGTGTGTGTGCGTGTGTGTGTGTGTGTGTGTGAGAGAGAGAGAGGGGGGACTGTTTTGAGGCTCCAGGGGAGCAATCCAGTCCATCTTCACGGACAGGTGCTGAGATGTTATCCTGGAGACTTTGAAAGAGCTAAGGCTCCTTGTGAAAATATTAAGTGTAACACTTAAGAAGAAAAAAGTTCTGTTTTCCTCTAATGTGCATTTTAAAAATGCAAGTATGCTCCTAGGTAGGATCTGATGGCAAGACAGATATAAACAGCTTCCCTTCAGAATCCAGCCAAACTGTAGAATTTGTTACTCACCCCCCACCCCACCCCAACTGCTAATAACGAATACCTGGCTGGGGTAAGCGCCCGCGGCTGAGTGCCGGGATGCCCAGATGAACACCTGGAGCGCTGGGGCTGCAGGGTTCGGGGGGAGCACAGTGACCAGGGCTGGAGGGAGGGTCCGGGGGACCCTGCTTGTGCTCCTGCACAGCCAGGCATGATCTCCCCTGGCCTCAGTTTCTCCTCTCTGAGGGGCAGCTCGAGGCCTCTCTAGGCTGATGTGAGCGCCCTGGGAGGGACCCGGCAGCCCTTCCTGTCCCATCTCCCTGCTCTGTGGATTCCGTGCAGGGAGATCCCCAGCTTTCGCTCTTCTGGGGGTGACACAGGTTTCACTTGGCCGGTTCAGACCTTCCGCCATGGGAGGCTGGCCGGTGCCAGGCTGGCAGGGCTGATTGTATGGAAGAGGCCTTGTGAATAATGCATGCGCGCTGATTATGCAAATCCCCTGTCCCTGCACTCCACCCACGCACCACAATGGGCTTTGTGGGGCCCTTTGCTGTCCTGTTCTGTGGCTGCTGTCTCTGCCTGGGGGCTGGGGCTGCCAACCCTGGGGGGCACCTCGGGAAGGAGCGGGCTCCCCAGAGGGCACATCAAACCACATGTCAGACAGTGGCGCTGCCCAGCTTTGCTGGCAGGCTCGGTGCAAAAGGACACTGTCTTCCGCCCGAGGAAGCCCCGTGACACGCGCATGTGGGGCCTGTGATGTTTAATTCAGAGCAGGGGATGCTGGAGACAGCGGGTCTGGGCTCCCTCAGAGCTTTCCTTCCCAGGCCGGTTTGCAGAGTGGGAGGGGGCTTCTGGGAGCCGCATCTGCACCAGATGCTGGGATAGGAAGGGGGGGCCTTCTAGGGGAGCCAGCCTCTTCAGAGCTCAAGCAGGTGACACACAGTGTGCATGTGCACGCGCACACACACACACACACGCACGTGCGCGCACACGGTTCTAAAGTGAAAAAGCTAACCATTACCAGGGGGCCCTGAGGGCCGGCCCAGCACAGGGCACAGGAACCAGGGCCAGAGACATCTGCAGCCAGGTCCTGGCTACTGCGTGAACTTGGGCGAGTCTCAACTCTCTGAACTCAGCTGCCCCATGTGTAAAATAGAGACCCTCGGACCAGCCAGGCAGGACTGTTGGGCTTGGGAGTGAACTGGATCGTGAATGCACACCACAGGCAGAGCCCTGGCCTGGCCTGGCCTGGCCGCAGAGCGAGGTTCCGCTGAGAAGAGCTGGCCCAGTGCCCAGGGAGTGGCCGAGCTCTGCTCTAAACCAAGGTCTGTCTAAAGCTCTTCTGCCACCTTCCTTTCTACCAGTAAATGTGTTGTGCATGCCCTGGACCCTCCCGGGGCCACCGTCTGCCATTTCTAAGGGGGCAGCCTCGGGGGCTCCGCCCCAAGCAGAGGCGCCTCACCTTCTGCTGCCGGATGGCCCTGTTGAACCTCTTCTCCTGGCTCAGCTGGTGCTCCGTGCGCTCCAGGGCCTCCTTCAGCAGGGCCTTCTCCTCCGTCTCTTTGTAGATGTCGTCCTCCAGCTTTGCTACCTGTGACTGGTACATCTGGACGGACACTTTGCTCTGCCTGGGCACATGGAGAGACAGACAGGGTCCCTGGTTCCCCTCATCGTCCCCACTCATGGTCCATGTCCTCAGATCAGTGGCCCCTCCCAGTGCTCGCACATGGGGCTGACTTAGGAGCTTCCTCCCAAGCCCGAGACAGCACAGGGATTTGGGGAGCAGAGGGCAGCACACACAGCTCACGGGCTGGACGCATGCAGCCTGGGGTGGTCCAGGCTGTGCTCCCCACTCCCAACTTCCCTGGGACACGCAACTCTCGGGGACGGATGGAACCATCAGAGCCAGACCAGTGAGTCAGGGAGGCTGACAGCAGGTGCCCTCTGCCCTCAGAGCGCACGGAACACAGGAGCCGAGTGCTCCAACTGCAGCCTTTTGATGGACAGACTCACCCCGCTGGGCCTGGCTGTTGTCCCCCCAGCATTTCAGCCACTCTCCTCTCGGGCCTCTGTCCTGTGCCAGCCCCAGGGGTCTGCTGCCTGTGCTCGGCTGGAGGGGGCCAGGCGGTACCTGAGCCGCTCCACGTCCTGCTCGTAACCTTTCAGCAGCTCCTCTTTCCTCTGCAGCCGGGTCTTGAGCTGGGTGATCTTGTCAAACACCAGGTCCAGGTCCCTTTGTCGCAGCTGGTTGACCTTCTCCCTCTCTTTGGCGGACAGGTGTTTCATGGACACGTGACCCGACATGTCTTTGATGTTCATCAGGCTTCCCAGAGTCCTGCTCATGTCCAGGTACTGCAAGGAGAGCCAAGGGGCCTCAGGGGCGGTGCCCGGCCCCCAGCTGCTCCCAGAAGGCAAGTGTCCGGTCTGCTTGGCCACCCTCTGCCACTGCAGACGGAAAGCGGGCTTCGTTTGCCCCGCAGCCACTCACGCTAGGCCTTTTTGGGACCCCCCTCGCTTTGCTGGCTCTTGAGGCGTTGGACTGGGCGGTTTCTGAACCGCGTTGGGGTGACAGACAGGCCTCGTGGAGTTTTAGAATGACCAGGGTTAACAGTGACCCCAGGGCCCAGGCTTTGGGAGGGGCCCTCGAGCTGTGGGTACACACCAGTCTTTCACTGAGATCCAAAGCCTCGGTGACATCCGTCTTATCCGACTTCTCCAGGGCGGAGCTGGTGTCCGAGTTGGAAAGGCTGTCCTGGAAGGAGAGAGAGAGACACGGCCGCTCCACCCTCCATCATGGGAGTCTCCAGCCGGAAGCTGCGCTCAGGGATGACAGAAGCGTAACTCAGGAGGTGACTCTCATTTCGGTTCCTGACCACTCAGTCTGGACTCCTGGCCACTGCTTTCTAACGAGGACCGTGCTCCGACCCTCAGAGAAGGCTGTGCAATGTGTTATACATGGCTCGTCTGCTCTGATGGCCTCTGTCTTCCCTCTAGAACAAGGGCTCGCAGTGGGCGTGACTCTGTCCCTTCCCCTGGGACAGTCAGCAATGTCTGGACACCCTTTTTGCTGTCACGTCTGAGGAGGGGGAGTGCTACTGGCATCTAGCGGGAAGAGGGCAGCGATGTCACTACACATCCTGCCAGATGCCGGCCAGCCCCTCACAGACTGGGCAGGAATGATCTGCCCCAAATATCAGTGGTGCTGAGGTCGAGGGTCCCCATCTGGACAACAAGCACTACAGGGACCATGTCACTGTCTGCTCACTAAACTTCTCCTTGTGCCTAGGGTGGCACCTGACACCGAGTGGCCTGGTATGGATGGGCACAATGTTGAATGAATGGATGAAGGTTACATAGAAAATGTCCCCTCTCCTTTTATTAGAGCAATTGTTTCATGCAGCAGGAGCGAGGCCTTCGGAAAGCATGGGCAAGGGCTGTCCTGGTGGAGTGTGCGGCTGGTGGCCCAGGCTCCCTGCAGGCTCTTTCCTGGGATGACACGCTCGCGGAGACCCCCGTAACTTCAGGCTGCTGAAAGCCCCTCCCCCAAAGCAATGGGGAAGGCATCATGCCACATGGGGAGTCTGGAGAGCCACCAATGGCCACTCCCAAAGTCCTCAGAACCAGATGGGCCTGCAGTGCTTGCTACGAACATGGTGGACATTTCACCCACAGCATCTGCTGCACCGCCCTGTCACCCTCTGAGATGAACAATGGAAACCCCCCACTATAAAGTAGAAAGGCCAAATGTGACAGTGACAGGAGGGACATATTTACCTACGTCAAGTGGACATAGTTACTAGGGTGAGAAAAAAGAGGGTCTGGGCAGAGCTATGGAACCTTTGTCCATTCATTCAACAGTTTGAGCAGATTGGCTGCAGAGAGAACCCAAAAGGCACCGTGGTGTCCCCAGCCCTCTGGAGTCCTTGACCTCCAGGCTCCTCCTCCTTCCTTCTCTGCAGACTAGGGGGCGGGGGCACCTGCCCGGGGTACAGTCCTGGCTCCTCGGTCTTTACCTCTGTGACCTTGCATGAGCTACTTGACCTTCAGAAGCCTTAATTTTTCATATCTCCAAAATGGGAACAATAACAACAGTGGTGCCCAGGCTGCCGGGAGGGGTGGACGGAGTAACGCCCGTGGACGGAGCCCTGGGCATCGTCAGCTGTGCGTCCTCCGTGCTTTTCATTTTAATCACTGCCCGCCTTGGAGGACTGAGGTTCTCAAGGAGAGTGGGGAGGTTTCTGCTGTGTGGTGTCAGGAGTGGGCCTGGCGGTCACCTCCCAGGGCAAGGTCACTCTGGGAAGCAGGGTCAGGCTATGAGGTCTAGTTGACCTCCACACCCAAACTCGGAGAAGGAGGGTTTGATTTTATCAAGAAAACCAATTCATTTCCAAAGACATTCATCCTGGACTCTAGGAAATGTCACAAAAATCTTTGGACGGAATGTCGGCCCAGGCAGGATGGCCTCATTATTTCTTCCAGAAGCCTGTGTGGGGTTCAGACCCAACTGTGCAGCAAGCGGCCACTCAGAAGGTCTTGTGGTTGATGGTGACCTTGCTGCCCGTTGTCATGTGCCCATGGTGCCCAAACACCTACGTAGGGTTCAAGGGCACCTTCAAACCACCTCTGAAAATCCTGGCAACCAAGCCTGTACCCCTTTCAGAAGGGCAGTTTTCCTTGAACACTACTGTTTAACTAACATTGAACAGTGACGACAGCTGTCATTTGTTAAATGCGCACTGTGAGCCGGGCACTGGACAGGATGAACTCCTTGGATTTTCATCATCATTCGACAGCTGGGAAATACAATCTCAGAGAGGTTAAGAGCCTTGCCCAAGGCCACCCAGCTTTCAGGCTGGGATTTGGACATGGTTCCCTCTGACCCCTGAACTTGGGTCTCATCACTGTTCCCTGCTGCTACCTCTTACACGCCATGTTTTTTAGTTGACAGGAAAGGAAACCTGAGGCAAACTCGGGTCATAATGTTATGAAGTGGCCCACTGAGCGCTTCTGCCCCGGAGGACCTGGTGGGTCGAGGGCCCGTGTCTGCCCTCACGCCCACCCTCTTCGCGTGCCACTTCACCGCGGAGACAACTTTTCTTTGGTTACCGCGTGGATCTCTATTCTTGAGGGAGTTGGCAGGTCGGATTTTGTGTCCACTATTATTTTCTGGACGTTTTTCTCCATTCTGAGCGTCTTTAATTCTAGGAACGATTCATTCAGGTGGTCCTTACAATCTATAAGAGAAAGAATGCAGACTCAGGACGGGGCTCCTCCAGCGAATCCCCACTGCTGCAGTCTGTGGGACACTTACCACGGGGCTGCGAGTCCTCATGACCTCCCTGGCAGATGGGGACACTGAGGCCTAGAGAGATTACATGGCCGGACCCAGCCGCGGCGGCAGCCACACAGTGTCAGGGCTGAGGCCTCGAGGGCGAGCTTCCAGACACAGGGACGAGGACGGGCTTGACGTGGGGCTTCAGGCCTGAGCCAGCGCCCCTGGTGCCCCGCGGGACAGTAAGCTCCCAGTCTGGAGACGGCCCCTTCCCCTGTGAATGGGGTCTGCTAAGAGATTCCCCGACGCTGACCCTCAGGTAGTGAAGTCCATGACAAAGTCTCCTCCCGGCCACAGCGAAATAAGGAGAAGGAGGACAAGGGTGAGTTTTCATGATGTCCTATTTATTTCATATGATTCTGAGGTCACGGCCGGCCCATCTTTCTTTGTGTCATAAGGTCCTTCCAATTAGGAGGTGGCGGGGACTAGAGAGGAGGGGACTTACTGGAAGAGCAGGCCTTCTCTAGTTCTTTGATTCGCGCTCGGAGTTCTGACAGGGCCTTTTTCTGTCGCTGAATGACTTCCTCGTGTTGGGACCCTCTGCACTTGGCCCCCAGGTCACTGAAAGACTGCTCCTGGAGGACAGACAGTGCAGACAGAGGCTTGGTTAGGGATCGGAGGACCTGACAGCACACACACGTGGGCGCTGCCCGTGCAGCAGGAGCCCGTGGCTTAGTACTTTGGGGAAATACCATCGGAGATCAGCAGAGAAGGAATTTGAATTTTTCATTGCAAATACCAGTCACATCTAGGAGGATTTCCGACTTTCCTACCTACTTAGCGACGCTATAAATAAAAGATCCCCTCTATTCTCCTTCCCCATGTTTTATTTCTTCTCTTCCATGCTCTATGCCTGGGTTTCTGTTCATTATCATTCTGATCTTGTTTCTGTACCATTGTACCAAGGTCTGCTTCTGCAGGGGCGTTTTTTTTTTTTTTTTCTTTTTTTTTTTTTTTTTTTGCAGTGCTGTGGATGGAACCCAGGGCCTCTCGTGTGCTAAGCCCTTGCTCTACCACTGACCGGCACCCCAGCCCCAGAGTGGTACTTTTAGTTGAGAACACAACATGCTCTCTCTTAAATTGGACATAGGATGGTTGTCTCCTATTGGCCAGGGGCATCTGATAGACTGACTCTTGGTGGGTCCCTCTGGAACAGCACCTCCAACAGGACTTCCTGTGGTGACAGAAATGTTCTACACCCTCATCCTCCAATATGGCAGCCACTGGCCACAGATGGACCCTGTCAGACAGCTCGGGGCTGTGGCTGGGTTTACTTAGGGATCAGACAAAGAAGGGTCTTCTTTGTCCTGTAAGGGTCACGCACCCTTTTAAGATTCAGAAAGATGCAGGGTTCTTTCCTCCAGAAAAATGTCCCCTACACACAAACATCTGCATACAACTTCCAGAGGTCAAGGACCCCCCACTCCCAAGCCGTCATGGAGTCCACACAGCACTCCCCTAAGGGGGCAATTCACTCATCATTCCTTCGTCCCTTCATTCCATGCTTTTTTTTTTTTTTTTTGAGCACTTCTGGGTGCCAAGACTTGTTCTAGTCTTTCAAGATTCAGCAGTGACACAACTGGCAGCCTGCCACCAGGGATTTAGCATCCTAATGTGGGGAGACAGACCACGAGGAAGATAAGGAAGGAAAATATGTGGTGGGCAGTGATAAATGTTTACCGGATAATTTAAGTGGGGACATGGGATGAATACTGGGGACAGTTTTCAGCTGTAGATGACTTGTACGGAAGGCCTCATCCAAATTGGTAAGAAATCGACAATCTGGTTGTTTTATAACTATTTTTAAAATAGCAATCTTAGTTTATTTCATACTACAAATAAAGATATAGGAGATACCATATATAGTATGAAGTGAACCAAAATTATTTAAAAATTATAGGCAGATATTTCTATCTATCATCTGCCTCGATTTCTTTATTCAGATCGTGTCTATCTATCATCTGCCTCGATTTCTTTATTCAAATACGTGTCTATCAACCTCTCATTACCTGTCTGTCTTCCTACCTTTCCACCTACCTATCCCCCTACTGCCCTGACCTCATGCCAGCCCCTCTGTAGGTACTGAGTGAGACTGAGAAGCGGACAGACAGACTGTCTCTGGGACAGACGGGTGACAGACATGTAAGTATTCTAATTCCAGCAAGTGAGAAGTGCTACCGTGAGACACAGCAGGGCTGGGGGAGAGGAAGGGAGACCTTTGTCTGTTCCTCTTTCTGTGATGACTCTGCCTATTAAGGGTCTATGTGACAATGAGTGCATGCCAGGCCCCACGCTGGCTGCTCTGGCCTTTGGGGTTCAAGGTCTAAGCCTCCTTCAAGATGCTCACTGGCACCATCTGAGGTCTCTTGGGAATGTCCCCCAACCCTGTCCCTGCCACTTACTCCTTCACCGTCTCGTTAGGCCCCAACAAGATGCCTCCTGCAGAGGCCTCCCTGACCACCAGATCCAAAAGAGCCCCACCCCACCTCGATGCTCCCTGCCCCAGTCCTGCCGTGCGGTTCCTCAGGGCGCATGGTCCTGCCGGACATTCTACTCAGTATTGTTTCTTTCCATCTCTCCCTTCCTGGCACGTAGGCTCCGTGAGAGCCAAGTCTGTCCCCTGTGGAGACCGTGGCCCTCGGGGCTGAGCAGCCCGAGTGCACCGAGGCCACAGCAGGAGCAGGAAGGCCCTTGCCCAGCGTCTCTGCCTGGCAGCTGAGGGCAGGGCCACTCCACCAAGGACCTGGCTGTCCTTGGGCCAGCTCTGGCTTGTTTATGGGCCGCCCAGTGGGTCCACTTCCTGGGCCTGACTCAGGCCTCACTCCTCTCTGGGACAGTGGTTTCCTGGGAGTCAATGACCTCCAGTGATCTGTCCCTGCCTGCACTGAGGAGGGCAGGAGTGCTGAGCTGGGGGCCAAGGGACAGCTGTGGCAATAGACTGCTGCCACCTCTGCTGGCCTGAGGTGGGTCAGAGCACCACGTGACCCTCCCTCATGGCCTTCTGGGAACTTCTATATTGAGAGCGGAAAGAGGTTCTTTCTCATACAACCCTGGAGCCCTCTGACCTGCTCTGGCTTCAGAAACAGGAAGTAGCGGGGAGAGGAAAACCATTCCAAGAAGAACAAATACTTTCCCCCTTTTATCTTGCAGACTCCCTCCCCCACCCTCCTAGGCTCATCCTGCCTCATGCTGGAGACCCAAAATCCCAGACATTGCCACCAGCCCCGCAGTCCAGCAAACACAGGCAGAGTCCAGGGAACCTGGTGTGGGCTGGGCCCTGTGTGCATTTCCCTGTCTCTGGCTCAGGGCCTGGCATACAGGAGGTGCTCAACAGTTGTTGACTGAATGAATGGCTGGGTACTTGGGCTGCCTGGTCGTGTCTCCCGCCCACCTTTGCCCTGAGCAACAGGAGCCACATCTGTCGCAGAGCTCTGGACAGCAACTGGAGCCAGCGCAGTGGGGGCATCTGGAGCCCTATTGTCTGAGCTGCCGTGGCCCGGGCTCTCGATGCCTGTCAGGGGAAAGCATCTCTGCTGACACATCTGGCCCCATTTCCAAGGGAGAGTCCACAGCCTGCTCTCTGGTTTTATAAAGCCACGGGGAAAGGATGAGTGGACTCCAGGAAGCCAGGGCTTCAAGGAACCATGGCACCTGACCACCATGGAAACATCCCCGCACCAGCCTCAGGGTCAGAGTGAGGGCCAGCTTCAGGGACCACCGGATGCAGGCTGTTGTCACTCAAAGACTCACTCCCCACTGGATGTGCAGCTGAGACTTGTGGGCTGGCAAAGATTCCTGGGTGGTTGTGCACAGAGGTGTTATCAAGAGACAGCCAGGGGGCGTTAATTGTGTGGCTCTTTGGGAAGACAGTTTGGTTCTATGAAGCACAATTGAGGAAGTCCTTTGGATCCAGCAGTTGCACATCTAGGAATGTGCTCTACACACGCACGAGTACACTAACTACAGCATCATGTGAAAGAAGCAACCTAAATATCCATCAGCTGGGAATTGGTTGGAAAAAGGGGCAAAATGGAATTCTATGAGGCCACTTAAAAGAATGAGGCAGAACCTTATATACTTTCTTGAAAATATACCCATTAAACAGTGTTATGTGAAAATAAAAAAGTTGCAGAATATATATGGTTTGATACCATTGGCAAAAAAAAAAAATCATCTACTAAATAAGTTTACGTATGTAAGGGTTTGTGCGTGTATTCACACACGTGTATAAGTAAAATCTATTTTTCAGCCACTCCAGGAGGTGGGGACTGTCATTACTCCCAGATAAGGCAACTGGAGCCCAGTGACCACCCCAAGGTTAGTTTCTAAGTGGGGGATTGGGGATTGGAGCCCAGCGGACTGGATCCAGGCTTGACCTTCAACCACTACAGGTTCATGACTTATGAGGGTGTGGTGGCCCCGTGGGGAAGAGCTGATGGCTTCCAGCCTCAGGTGACTGCAACCGCAGGGCAGATTCTGGGTTTTCACTTCATACATTTCACACAGGCAGGCAATACTTTTGACACTTAGAATGAAAATATTTTCAAAGGGAAGGAAGCCACCACTGGGCTCTTGGGAGCAAGTCCCGCCGGGGGCCCAGGATCCATGGAGGACTTACCTCTTGACTGCTCAGGAAAACACTGGGGTGCATTGGCTCAATCTGCACAGAGATGTCACACTTCTGGGTGGCGTTCTTGGCTTTCTCCTCCTTCTCCATGCTCAGCTGGAGTTTGTGTTTGTCTTGGGAAGCCCTAGGGAGAGGGGAGATGTTGCCAGGGCAGCAGGCCAGCCGAGGCCCAGGTTCAAGTGCTTTTGTGTACTTTAGGGGACCTGGAAGTGGCCTGTTTCTACAGGTAACTGGATTCTCCAAGACCTTGAGTCTCCCGGCCCCAAATTTCTAGAGAATTTAGTTTCAGGAGACTCTAAGGATGGTGACCGGGCAGTGGGTACCTGCTCCTACCTCTTGCTCTGGACACCTGCGTGGCATTGACAGGGCTGTCATGTTCCCGGCACTGTCTGACTGCCACATCTAACATTTCGTATCATCCCTTCTGCTCTCATAATAACCCCTAGAGGTCAAGATTCTCCCTGCTCCATTTTACAGATTAGTAAGAGACGCCCAGCGATTTTCCTGTGGTCACCAAGCTTATAAGTGGAGGAGTCTGGCTGTGAAACCGGCAACCTTGATGGGATCCTGTTCTTACAGCCACTGTGACTGCCTTGGCCACAAGCCATGAGGCACATGCTATGGGAGATATGTGGGACATCAATTTCACTCCAAATTTTTTGGGGAAAATGTTACTTCTGTTAAAATATGGATAAGCTACAGACAAAAATTGCAGAATCATGTTATTCTAAATTAATCCATGGGACAATGACAATCTTTTATATTTATTTAAGTTGGCATTTCCGGCTTACTTGTTTGTTCAATAAATATTAAGGTCCCTTACGTGCCAGGTAGGTGTGAGTGCCGGGAACTCAAGGGCAGGCCAAGCCTCTGCAGAGACTCAGGGCGGGGCAGGTGAACGGGCAAACAGGCCTTGCTGTGTGTGCGGCAGGCCAGGCAGAGTGCAGGGGCTGAGGGGCCCATGCAGAGCTGGGGCCCATGCAGAGCTGCAGCCCCTGGCTGGGTCTGGTGAGGAGAAGTGCAGGCAGGCTTCCTGGAGGAAGTGGCATTTAAGCTGAGGCCAGTATCTGGGACACAGGGCAGGGATGCTTGCTCAAGAAGCACAGAAAACTAAGCAGAACTCTGTTTAACTGGTGGGCTGCTCATCCACCCAACTCCACCTCCTTGTGCAGGGCTCCAGACCCCCACCCCGCCTCGCCTCGCCGGCCCGCCCCACCTCGTGGGCCCGCCCCCACCTGAGTGCCTCCCGGAGGGCCTTGAGCTCCCGGTCCTTCTTCTCCACCAGGGTGCTCATCTGCGCCAGCTTCGTCTTGAGCATGCACAGCTCCCTGCTCTGCTGCTGGACCAGGGTCATGTGCCACTCCAGCTCCCTCTTCTGCTTCTCACTGAGGTCCCCTGGAG